GCTTGGAGCAGCCTGGGCTGGTGGGAGGTGTCCCTGCCCATGCAGGGGGTTGGGACTGGATGATCCTTAAGGTCCCTTCCAAGCCAACCCATTCCATGAGACCTTCTCTTTTCTATAGTCTCTTCCTGGGGCAGCTGCTCCACCTCTAGGCAGTTTTAGTTTCCCTTCTTGGTACCTTTCCTACTTCCACATCACTCCCCTGGAGCTAAGGAAGCAAGAACTGCTCTCAACACTCAAGCAGTGGTTGGACCAAAGCTTGATGTGGTGGCTTTTGTCCTGTGGCTGCAGTGCCCTCAGAAACCTGCCACAGTCCCTGTGACACTTGGGGCCAAACCTGCCTGTATTAAACTCAGAGATCCACCTGTCTTCTTGCTGGTGGCTTCTCTGAGGGGTTGTGAAGGGCTCTGCCTCCATGTGGGCCCAGTGCTGATCCTCCTCAGCAGGGAGGGTGGCATCTCAGACTGGTCTGGCTCAGCACCCTGACAGTTCTTTTGCTCATCCAGGGGGTTAGTGAGCCAAGATGTCTCTGGTGTGGTCCTTGGTTGGGGGAATTCTTACCTCTGCTGCTCAGTAAGAGTTTCTTGTTCCAGGCTGGCTGAGGGCAGGATCCTGCCTGGCAATATGAAGGACAACTTCTGGGAGATGGGAGACACAGGCCCCTGTGGCCCTTGCAGTGAGATCCACTACGACAGGATCGGGGACAGAGATGCTTCCCACCTGGTCAACCAGGATGATCCCAACGTCCTGGAGATCTGGAACCTGGTGTTCATCCAGTTCAACAGGTGAGCCAGACCTGCTTCCCCCAGGCTGCTCCATGGGGGTTGCACTCTTGGACCTGCCCTGGGCTTGCTCACCAATCCCTCTTGCCCAGGAGCTGAGTGAGCATTTTGTGATGCTCTGTCCCCTCACCCAGCCTGCAGAAGAGGTTGGTCACACTGGCTTTGGGGACAGACTCCAAGTATTTTCTCAGTTTGTTTGCCAGGAATTCACAGAATAGTTCACAGGATAGTTCTGGTTGGAAAAGACCTTTAAGATCATCAAATCCAACCATAACCCAACCCTACCAGCCATAACCCAACTCTACCAAGTCCAGTGCTTAATCCCATGGGGAATAAGTGCCATCCCACTCTGAGCTTGTCTGGGTTGTCCCTGTGTATGGACCTGTGTCTAAATTTGGTGGAACAAAATGTCATGGAGATGAGAAGAGAGTGGTGAGTTGCCCGTGCAGAGGCTCCTTCCATAACAGGTCATCTTTCTTTGTGTGGCTGGGCAGGGAAGCTGATGGGACACTGAAACCTCTTCCTAAGAAAAGTATTGATACTGGGATGGGCCTGGAGAGGCTGGTCTCTGTGCTGCAGAACAAGATGTCCAACTATGACACCGACCTTTTCCTTCCTTACTTTGAAGCCATCCAGAAGGTACAAGCTGGGACCCAGCTGCATCCATTCCCTGAATCCCTGGGGAGATGCCTGGGGCTGGTGGGATGGGGTGGTTATGTCTGCAGGTCTCTGCTCTCCCAGCTGCTGTGAGCCCAGGGGTT